TGCCCTCTGCCTTTGCATTCTGGTTTCAGTGGTGGTCCAAAAAGAAGCAACAATAGAGAAAGGGGGAAGAAGGGAAAGAGAGCCAACCAACAAAACAAATCTAGTGGAGAGAGTGGGTTGCTGGTCATGCACATATTTTTAACTGTTTGGGGCATGACCAGGTCTCATGCATGAGGGATCAAATGGGGGAAAAAATAGGAAACTTCAGCCTTTCTTAGTGCATATGGAGACTTAGGCTGCCTGATTCTATTAGGATTTGTGATGTAATAACAAAAATTTATTTATTTATTAGATTTCTACCCCGCCCTTCCCGCCAAAGCAGGCTCAGGGCGGCTTACACAAACACTAGACAGCTAAAACAGAACTAAGTAAAAACATAACAATATAAATCTAAAACATTACAAAGTGCTAGTGCTAAAAACGGGGCTGCAGTGGCTCAAGTGGTTAAGACGCTGAACTGCAGACCGGAAGGTCGGTAGTTCAGCAGTTTGAGACCTGAGTGCTGTATGATGGAGTGAGCTCCCATCTCTGGCCTCAGCTCCTGCCAACCTAGCAGTTCGAAAGCAAGAAATTGCAAGTTGATAAATAGGTACCGCTTCAGTGGGAAAGTAACAGCGTTCCGTGAACCTCAGCATCTAGTCATGCCGGCCACATGACCACGGAAACATCTTTGGACAGCGCTGGCTCTTCGGCTTGGAAACGGAGATGAGTACCACATCCCTAGAGTCCAAGTCGACTGGCTTTCGAGCAAGGGAAACCTTTACCTAGTGCTAAAAACTATGGCAGGTCCTTAAAGAGATGGGAGTACCAGACCACCTCACATGTCTCTTGAGAAACCTGTATAAGGGCCAAGAAGCAACAGTTAGAACCGGATATGGAACTGATTGGTTCAGCATAGGAAAAGGAGTACGACAAGGATGTATATTGTCACCTTGCTTATTTAATATATATGCAGAGTACATCATGCGAAATGCTGACCTGGATGAATCACAAGCGGGAATTAAGATTGCTGGGGAAAAGATCAACAACCTCAGATATGCAGACGATACCACTCTAATGGCAGAAAGTGAAGAGGACCTAAAGAGCCTCTTGCTCAGGGTAAAAGAGGAGAGCGCAAAAGTAGGCTTGAAGCTCAACATCAAAAAAACTAAGATCATGGCATCTGGCCCCATCACTCCTTGGCAAATAGAAGGGGAAGTCGTGGAAGTAGTGACAGACTTCACGTTCCTGGGATCCCAGATCACCGCAGACTGTGACTGCAGCCATGAAATTAAAAGACGCCTGCTCCTTGGAAGGAAAGCGATGGCAAACCTAAACAGCATGATAAAAAGTAGAGACATCACCCTGCCCACAAAAGTCCGCATGGTCAAAGCAATGGTATTCCCAGTAGTCATGTATGGCTGCGAGAGTTGGACTATAAGGAAGGCCGAGCGCCGAAGAATAGATTCTTTTGAACTATGGTGCTGGAGAAGACTCTTGAGAGTCCCTTGGACTGCAAGAAGATCAAATCAGTCAATCCTAAAATAAATCAACCCTGACTGTTCCCTGGAAGGCCAGATAATGAAACTGAAGCTCAAATACTTTGGCCACCAAATGAGAAGGGAGCACTCACTGGAGAAGACCCTGATGCTGGGAAAGATTGAAGGTCAAAGAAGACGGGGACGGCAAAGGATGAGATGGTTAGACAGTGTCATTGATGCAACGAACATGAAATTGAGCCAACTTCAGAGGACGGTGGAAGACAGGAGGGCCTGGCGAGAGCTGGTCTATGGGGTCGCGAAGAGTCGGACTCGACTGTGCGACTGAACAACAACAAAGTGCTAAAAACAGTTCATATACAGCGGCAGGCATGAACAGCATTAGGGAAGCAAGCAATCAGTTCTCATCGTGGTCTGAGTCATATTGACTGTTGGATGTTGATATAGATGTTAATATTGGGGCCAGGGCCCTGGTTGTGTGATGTGGCTCCCTAGTCGAAGGCATGGTGGAAGGGCTCCATCTTGCAGGCCTTGTAAAAGGTCCTGCAGGAACCCGATGTCTTCTGGGAGCTCATTCCACAAGTGTGGAGCTGCCACTGAAAAGGCCTTGGCCCTCGTCACAGCCAGTCTGGCTTCTCAAGGGCCTGGCAGGGCCAAACGGTCTTGGGACCCTGGCCATATAGGGCTTTAAAGGTAAGAACTAGCACCTTGAACTGGGTTCAGTATGCTATAGACAGCCAGTGCAGTGCTTTTAGTGCAGGTTGGATGTGCTCCCGCATAGGGAGGCCCAACAACAACTTGGCCACTGCATTCTGCACCAGCCGCAGCCTCCGGATCTGGGATAAGGGCAGCCCCATATAGAGAGCATTACAGTAATCTAGTCTCAAGGTGACCATTGCATGGATGACTGTTGCCAGATCATTGCGTTCGAGGAAGGGAACCAGCTGCCTAACCAGCCGAAGATGATAAAAGGCTGACTTTGCAGTGGTTGCTACCTGTGTCTCCATTAAGGAGACATCTAGGAGCACTCCCGAGCTCCTAACCTCTGGCGCTGGAACCAACGGCGCCCCATCAAAGGTCGGGAGTAGAATCCCTATCCTCGGGCCACTCCGACTCAGGCACAGAACCTCTGAGAGCCAGTTTGCTGTAGTGGTTAAGTGTGCAGACTCTAATCTGGGAGAACTGGGTTTGATTCCCCACTCCTCCACTTGCACCTGCTGATGTGACCGTGGGTCAGTCACAAGCTCTGGCACAGCTGTCCTTGAAAAAGAGCAGTTTGTGTCAGAGTTCTCTCAGCCCCACCCACCTCACAGGGTGTCTGTTGTGGGGAGGGAAAAGCAAAAGGAGTTTGTAAGCCGCTCTGAGACTCCAAGTGAAGGGCGGGGTATAAATCCAATCTTCTCTTCTTCTTCTTCTCTCTTTGTCGGATTCAATTTCAGTCGACTCAGTCTAAGCCAACCAGCCACAGCTTTCAACGCCAGGTCTATATCTTCCAGTCTGAATTCAGGTTGATTGCCCAACAGCAGACAGAGCTGGGTGTCATCCGCATATTGGTGACAGCCCAGCCCATGTCTCCAGGCAATCTGGGCAAGGGGGTGCATATTTATTATTTATTTATTTATTGCATTTTTTGCCCCGCCCTCCCTGCGAACGGGCTCAGGGCGGCTTACATGGGGGCACAAGCCCATACATAAAAACAATATAAAACATTAAAAGCTATTAAGTCACAACAAAGACAAATAAAGTGTTCCATACAACAAGATGGTCTCTGAAAATGGTATCGATCATTTCATTAGGGTGAAATTGTCCTGTCGATGGTCCAAGCCAGGCCAGCAGCATCAGTGCCATGCAGAATTATGGCAGTTCTTCCGGGGACCACTCCCAACCCCATTGTTCCAATGATGGTAATAATAGAGGTGGCAGAGGTGGCGGCCCCTATATAAAAGCCTGGCGGAAAAGCTCCGTCTTGCAGGCCCTGTGGAACTGCCTAAGGTCCCGCAGGGCCCTGATCTCCTCCGGGAGCTTGTTCCACCAGGAGGGGGCTGCCACTGAGAAAGATCTGGCCCTGGTCGCAGCAAGCTTTGTCTCCTGGGGGCCTGGCATCACCAGGCGGTGTTGTGTCCCCGACCAAAGTGCTCTTGGGGGTAAATAACATCGAGAAAAGAACTGCGCCTTGGGGCACTCCACAGACTAGCGGGTGCCTTCGGGACAGCTCCTTCCCAATAGCCACCCTTTTTCCCTGACCCTGAAGGAACAAGAAGAGCCACTGTAAGGCAGACCCTTGAATCCTGGTGTCGGTGAGGCAGCGGGTCAGTAGCTGGTGATCGACCTTGTTGAACGCTGCCAACAGATCTAACAACAGCAACACCACCGAATCGCCCCGATCCAGATGCCTCCGAAGATCGTCTGTGAGGGCGACCAGTGCAGTCTCTATCCCGTGGCCTGGTCGGAAGCCGGACTGGAAGGGGTCTAATGCAGAGGTGTCATCCAAAAAACCCTGCAACTGAATTGCCACCGCTCTCTCAATTAATTTGCCCAGAAGGGTAAGTTGGAAACCAGCCGGTAATTAGCCAATTTGGCCGGATCCAGAAAAGCTTTCTTTTTTAAACTGAGAAGTTGTAGTCACATCCTGGCAAGCTGTGTGAGGTCAAATCCAGTGGCAGAAAGGTAGAAGTGATACAGAAAAGTTAGCCAAGTAACTCAGTATGCCAGTTAAGGGGACCCAATTGTTCAGCTATTGCCTTGGCTTCTGTGATTGACCACTTGATATTTCCCCTAATTTCCTATTTGTCTATTTGCTTCTCTATTGCTTTGGTTCTAACAGGGGCTATAGGATTCTCATTACTCCATTCAGGGTTACAGAGGGTTTTAGGGACGGCATGTTCAGGGGGATTGTGTTGGGAGCAGTGTTCCCTCTAAGCTGAGTTAGTGTGAGCTAGCTCACACTAACTCAGCTTAGAGGGAACATTGGTTGGGAGGGATTTTCTGGGAGCTCTAGGAGAATCTCAGGGTGCACAGATACAATGAGGGTCCAGTGCAGCCCGAGCTGCTGGTGATCTAGATCCGACTTTTACCCAGTCCCTACAAAGTAGTGCTGTTGGGAAAGGCCGCCATTCTGGGGGTGGAGATGGAATCTGAACCGAGCTCTTCCCCCCACTTTTCAACCCCGTCCCCCAACCAGTTTGATCAAAGCAGATCCGAAGGTTTCCCAGTTAGGCTCAGGGCTCTGGAGTTGTGGGAGATCCGGGTTTTGATTCAGATTCCAAATTTTAGTGGCGCTCAGCCAAAGAGTACCGAGCCCAACGTTAAAAACGTCTACCCAGCCGAAGACCGACCGAGACGCTGGAAAGGAAGCGGAAGTGGAGGAGGAGCCGCCGTCGCCCCGGAATAGCCGAGCTCGGAGCGATAGTTCCTTCCGGAGCGAGGCTGGAGGGAGGCGGGAACTGGAGGGAGAAAGCCGCGATGGATAGCCGAGCTCGGAGCGACAGTTCCTTCCGGAGCGCGGCTGGAGGGAGGCGGGAACTGGAGGGAGAAAGTCGCGATGGCCGTGTTGCTGGAAACGACGCTGGGCGACCTGGTGGTGGACTTGTACACAGAGGAGAGACCTCGAGGTGAGGAGAAGCCTTGGCAAGAGCTGAGGCGGAGTGAACCGATCAGCCGTTGGCGAATATTGCAGCTCCGGCGCGACCTACTCTGAAGGCTCGTGTGCAGATTCTAAGAACTGCAGCAGAAGCAGAGATTGAACAACCGCTGTGCATTTCTGTGCTTGGGGGCAAGCTGCACCAGTTGGATTTCTGTTTGTCCCGTAGCAGTTAAGAAACACGGGGCAAGATAGGCCGCGATGGGTAGTTTTGCACACCCTAAGAAGTGCTTCTTTCTCCTTCGCCGCGATCCCTTGCCGTTTTGCAGGAAGTGCCCAGAGTCATTTCTCGCGTCGGGCATGCGGTCCCGAAGCATATCTCTTGGGTTTCGGTCTCTTTCACTGGTGCCCCAGGTTAGGTGTGTCAGTAGGCTGGCACAGAACTGTAAAAGGCTCAGGTGACCTGTCAGGGTGTGAAACGAAAACGGGGTTCCCGTTATTTACAGGTCGTAACACTAACCTAACAACCAAAGATTAAACAAGTGGAGTTTCCCTCACCACTTAGTTCCATGCTAGAAGAAACTTTAAAAGGTAAATGTTTATTTATTGGCCATCTAAAAACAGAGCAAGAAAAAAATAATAAAGGGACAACTCTAATGCAACACTTTTTTATTTTCTAAAATGTGATGCTGAAGCTCAAACCTGCCTAAAGTTCCCATCATTTGACCTGAAAAAAAGCCTCCTTTCCTCAGCTTCTAATATAGGAGGACAGGGTGTAGTTATTTATTCTTGAAGGAAGAGCACTTTGTATGTGCTTAACTACCCTTCTGTATTATCATGCCATGTATCCCAGGACTACCAGCTCATATTAGAAAAAAAATCCAGGAATGTACCCTAGTGAGTTCTGATTAAATAATTCCTGTTTGTTCAGAGAGTAGATGGTAGCATTTCTTCCCATAGATTTTTTCCTTATTATTCTACTTTTATTTCATTTGGGACAATTTCTTTATACTGAAATTTGGTTTGGCCTTGTCACCATAGCTTAGACACTGAGTCTCCCTAAGTCTTGTGGTAACTTCTTGTTTCCAGTATCTCCTCCTTGCAGAGCTTCATATGCTATAAGATTTGTAATAAAGTATTAAGGAGTCATAGTGTGTGTTTCATTTATTAGGCAAAATCCACATTCCATTACAGTTGTCATAAATTTCTTGCAGCCTGTCTGAATTTTCTGAAGCTCTGCAAAATCAAGTACTACAATTACTGTCTTATTCACAATGTACAGGTAAGCATTTGTGGTGATGTTTATTTTCTCTCTCTGAATTCTTAAATCAGTGAACAGTTTTGCAAGCACATGTTGCACTGCAGATAGATAAATGGTCTTGGATACATTGTATGTCCCTCTTGGCCTTACATCATCATTTGTAAAACAGAATAATAACCTGCTTCAAAAAAATCATTGTGAGTGCAGGTACAATGAACGTCTTCAGTTAATTTATATATGTGTAATAATAAATAGCTGTAGTCATAAAGTATCTTTTTATTTTAAATATGTCTTGCATTGTTACAGAGAGATTTCATCATACAGACTGGTGATCCACAGGGGACTGGCCGTGGAGGTGAATCCGTTTTTTGGTGAGCTTCTTATATTGGGTAGTAAAAGATAGCTTGACTTTCTTAGTGTACTCCTGAAAGGAGGACCTTTTGGGTACCAAACAAGATGTTCCAACTCTGTCATTTTGTTTTAGTCACAGTTCTCCAACCATTATTTCCATACAATTGCACTGGGCCTTGCATGTGAGATTGTGCCATCCAATATTATTTTCTACTTGTTTCTTTTTAGATAAAGTTATTATCAGGTAAAAGGATGTTACTCTGGCAGCACCAACTGTATTCTTTTATAAATTAACTTTGAGTTTTTAAAAATAAGAACATTCTTTTGAAATTTCATGATTTACAACATTGATGCAAAAGTTCTGTATTTTGAGTAATCAGATCCTGGAGGGCTGATATGGGGAAGAAATCTTTGTTGAAAATCTTGGAGACAAGACCCTGGGAGTTAGTAAGGCAGAATGTGACTCTATGAAGCCCTCAGAGGATACTATTTTACGCTTGAATTTCTTCTTCATTCCAACAGTTCAAAAATCTGTGTTTAAATGCCTAAAGAAAAGAGAGATCATCATTTAATAATAATGTCTGGCTTAACTACTACTGAGGAGTTCCAAGGGTAGAGAGGAGGAGGATTTTTGCCAGTCCCCTCTCCCACTGCAGACCTCTGACTTCCCCCTTGCTTTTCCTGAGGGGTCCTCTTTCTCCAAGGAGCAGTGTTTTGGGGGGTATTTGGGTCTGTGGTGGTGGGATGGGAAGGAAGCCCTGCTCTGCAGATGGAAGTCTCTGGTGGATTTAAGTCACTATTGTTAAAAGTTGAAATACATCTTTTGCTCACTGCTGATCTCCATATATACAACTCCACAGTGTTTGCCTTAACCACTACACCAAACTGGCAGACAGGAGGAGGATTTTTGCCAGTCCCCCCTCCCACTGCAGACCTCTGACATCCCCCTTGCTTTTCCTGAGGGGTCCTCTTTCTCCAAGGAGCAGTGTTTTGGGGGGTATTTGGGTCTGTGGTGGTGGGATGGGAAGGAAGCCCTGCTCTGCAGATGGAAGTCTCTGGTGGATTTAAGTCACTATTGTTAAAAGTTGAAATACATCTTTTGCTCACTGCTGATCTCCATATATACAACTCCACAGTGTTTGCAGATCCATTACAATACATGTACCTCATTCAGCAAGGAGATATGTGCGTAGATCATACTTGTAAATGAACATTTAAAAAGGCATTTCATGTGGGTAAACATGTTGGTTGTTCCAGTTCCAGACACAGTGTGATGATGTGCATATTAAACTCATACATAGATAAGAATCCTCCACATAAAATTTAGGGACCAAAGCCCAAGTTCAAGAGAATGTGGTCACAGATTGATTTTGTCTATTGAAGTGAATAGTGATAATGATCTGAATGGAGCTGTTTCAGAAGGTTGCTAGGCTGCATAATATATCTGAAGGGAATAATAATAAATTTTCACAAATGCCATTCTTTTGGACACAGTTTCTGTTTCAGACAGTGAGGAACATTATTCTTACACAAGTTGTGAGCCAACCTGACCGGTTATATAATTCCCTCCCAGTCTCAGTTATCCTAGATGATACTGAATGTGACCACTTCTGTATTTTAAATATCTTTTGAGAGTAGCTGTGAATAGAAGTGCATGAACTGCAGATATTAAGCCACCTCAAACAATACTTGAAGAGGCAGGATATACATATGCTAAATAAAAAACATTAAGTAAGAAACAAGTGGATTATGTTGATGCTGCTAATGTGAGTAGATGTTCACAAGGTCATGTAGTTATAAATGTCTGTAGTAAGCCATTTGCTATCTTATGTAGGTAAAGTAGAACATAAGCATAAAACAGCATATTTTACTGTTGTTTGCAATTTGTGTTTGCTAGGTGATGTGGTATAGTATTTGGAGTTTTGGGCTAGGATCTTAAAGACCTAGGTTCAAATTCCCCTCTACCACTAACATTCACTGGGTGACCTTGAACCAGTCACTCTCTTTCAGCCTAACCTGCCTACTTCTCAAGGTTTTTGAGAGGACAAAATAGAAGAAGGGAAAATGATGTACATCTCCCTGAGCTCCTTGGGAGAAGGAGCAGAATAAAAATGTATTAAATAAATAACCTGTACATGGGGCGGCCCTTGTCCCAAATCCGGAAGCTGCAGCTAGTGCAAAATGCAGCAGCCAGGGTGCTGATGGGTCTTTCTGTACAAGATCACATCTAGCCTGTGCTGAAGGCACTGCACTGGCTGCCAGTAGCATACCAGATTCATTTGAAGGTGCTAGTTTTGACCTTTAAAGCCATATACGGTCGGTGGCCTGCTTACCTGAGGGACCGCCTCTCCCCGTATGTCCCCCAGAGAGCATTGAGGTCAGGATCACAAAATCTCCTGACTCTCCCTGGTCTAAAAGACATCAGATTGGCCATCACTAGAGCTCCCAGAAGACATCAGGTTCCTGCGGGACCTTTTACAGTTCCACAGGGCCTGCAAAATGGAGCTCTTCCACCAGGCTTTCGATTAGGAGCCACCACTGCCAAATGAGTAATCGGAAACTGAAGATGCTATGGCCCTTATGTTACAATGCTGGATACTGCCTTTGGACCAGTTTATAGGTTACAACGCTGGATATTGTCTTCCTTCATTGGACCACTTCATAGGAACTAGCACTTTATGTAAATTGTTGTTTATGTGAATTTTATTGCATTTTATTGTTGTATTTTGGCTGTTGTACGCCACCTTGAGCCAGTTTGCCTGGCAAGGTGGGATATAAATTGAAAAACTAAATAAATAAATAAACCTATATACTTGCATATATGTGTTTCAGCAAATTATATGGGGATCAAGCTAGATATTTTGAATCAGAAAAAGTGCCAAGAATTAAACACAAGAAAAAGGGGACTGTATCAATGGTGAACAATGGCTGTGACCAACATGGATCTCAGGTGAGCACATAATGTTGGGTTTTGCTAGAATTGTGGGATTGATAAAAGGGAAATAATTTTGCAAAGGATCCACAGAGAATGAAGATAGTGGCTTGACAGGACATAACCTGTGCATGCAGTTAATATATGTTTGTAGATTACAGTTAGTAAAATGACTTGTCACAAGATTAAAAAAATCATAACGAATCCCTGCCTTAGTTGACACGGCACATAGATAAAAGGGCATTAAATAAAAGGGCATTAACTCTTCTGCAATTTTTCTATATGTATATAAAAAGCTGCTTTTATACATAATCAGAACATAAGTCAATTTTGCTGTGTTTTGGCTACTCTGATTGGTAACAACTTTCCAAGGACTCACACACAGAAAGGTCTTTCCCAACAATTTCTCCCTGAGATCTGAATCACAAGAGTTGGAAAGAGCCATACAACTTTGTTCATCTAGTCCAACCCCCTGCTCAATTCAGGATCAGTCTAAAAGATCCCTGACAAATGTTTGTTTAGCCTCTGCTTGAAGACTGTCAGTGAGGGGAAGCTCACCACCATACTTTTTCTTTAACTGGTGATGTACCTGAAACCTATGTGTGCTGTACCACTGAGCCATGGCCCCTCTCATCCCCAGGGCTAGTTGTGATTTTGAATCTTGTTGCACTTATGTGAATTTTTAATAACTTTCGATATTGACGTGATTTAATCACATCACCTTTGGTTTGAAAGATGGACTGGATAAATCAAAATGCACATCTTTGTTGTTTTCAGGAGCAAATACCACCCTCAGAGTTGTCAGCAATATTGGAGTTGAATTTCTTTTCTTAGAGCTAGCCTTCTAAATATTATGTTGCTATAAGGCTGTTTTTCGTTCAAGCAAATAGTTTGATGTGCATTTCTTTCTAACATCAGCCATAGGATATTTCTGGCATTTCCTCTGAAAGTGGTAATGGGATGAGGGGAGGACAGGGAGTTCCCCATCAGAACTTGCAGCGTGGGTGGAGTGACTGTAGCTCTGTCTGTACAGCGTTAGGAACTAGGAAAGCATTGTTTAAAATTACTTAAATGGGTCATGATAAAAAAGTACCAACTGCAGATGTAAGCATGTAATTCTCCCTGATGTCAGTAGGAGCACATGTGGTGCCTTGAAAACTCTCCAGCCTTTCTTTGTCTTCCCACAGAAGTTTCAGATGTCATCTTGTAAAAAAGTAATGTGGGGTGCATTTTTAAGGCCCCTTTGAATGTTGAAAAATTAATCTTGGGCACATCTAAGCAGCTGTTCCTTGTGACCAGAAAGGGCATTTTTTAACTAAGCAATGTTTCTGTTTTGTTTTTCTATAGTTTCTTATTACTACAGGAGAAAACGTAGATTACCTGAATGGTGTGCATACGGTGTTTGGTGAAGTTACAGAAGGCATGGATGTACTGATGAAAATTAATGAAACCTTCGTTGACAAAGATTTTGTTCCATATCAAGATATCAGGTTTGATTGTCTCTTGTTTCCATATTTTAACAAGGTTATTTCTGGATAGGCCTTTCAGTGTGACGGTTGTATGAAGTGGGCAAAAGGGATCTGGTGCCCAGGACACCTTCCTCTGGCAGAAGCCAGTTTGTGTGCTTCCAGAGAACAGGGAAACAGCCTGCACTATACACTGAGGTTCTTATTCTTTGCCTGAGCTGGCATATGCTTAGAAAGATTTACTTGACTGCCTTGACCTGAAGATACTGAGTATGCGTCAGTGAAATGTATTTATTGTAAAAGCATGCCGTTGTTGTAGAGATGAAATAGTGTTATAAAACAATAAATGACATTTTCCTGCATTTCTTATTAGGATAAACCATACAGTGATCTTAGATGATCCATTTGATGACCCACCTGGTTTGGCAATACCAGACCGTTCACCAGAGCCTACAAAGGAACAGTTGGATGTGAGTATTGCTATTAACTTTTAGTGCTTTTTGGTGGGAGCATGAATGGGAAGCAACAGTTATGTTAATATGGATGCTTCCAAAAATGGAGTCCTTTTCTGATTTCAGCAAGTTTTGATTCTACAGAGAAGGCTGTCTAAGCGAGAGAGTTTGAGGCTCTCTCTTCTTTCTTTCCAGTTTAATGAGTAATGTGACAAAAAGCCTATTCTGATACTTGATATTAATCAAGGAGTATTTGCTCTCCATCATGTATTGGGAATAACACATTGTGATGTAGAACAAGTAATATTTTCAAGAATATAATCAGGCAAATACAAAAAAGTATGCTAGCATTGTTTCAAGAAATATAGGTTGTCCCACAGCCATGCATGCAGATTCCCTATAGAAAGTACTGTACAAGTGAGTGGTCAGGACTGGAGACACAGAGCCAGCAGCAGCTGCTGCATATTAGGGCATGCTTACACAGGATTTATATGCATCCTAACACAATAGCATGAGAAGCACCCTTCATATTTTGTACCTTGGAGCAGGAGGGATATGAATCTGTGCCTTGGGCTTTCAGTATGAGGGAAATAGAAAGAATAGATCATTCTGTACATCTCTGTCAATTTCTCATTGTTTCCATTGCACATTATTCCTGGGAAAATAATGTCTGTCGATAATAGAGTATCCAGACATGAGGGAAACTATGGCTTATTTGATTGAAATACAGCTTCCTGATTCCTGTGTATTGTTATTATTTACTTACATTATTTGTAGTTCACCTTTTCCCAAAGCAGATTACACAGTGATGATTCTCAAGAGCATCTATGTGTGGTAACTGCTGCAACTTGAATGCATAATCAAATGTAACTTAACTTTGTCCAGTGCCATTTTTTCATGTCACAGGTGGACTGAAGACATGAGATCATCATCAGTGCATTCACTGACTTAATTTTATTAAATAACTGTCATTTTTTAAAAAAATGTAAGACAGAGTGGGAGAATAGGAGCCGATGAGGAAATTGATGACTTCAAGGGAAGGTCTGTTGATGAAGTGGAGGAAATTCTGGCAGAGAAAGAGGCAAAAACTCAGGCTATCCTTTTGGAAATGGTAAATATATTTGATTTGTTTGATCAGAGTAATATCTTTATATGTGTTTTGTGTTGTACACATTGTATGAATATTAATAAAGTGAGTGTTGCATTATCTGGATGTGGGTTCAGATCCTAGCTCACAAGGTACCCTTGGCAGATCTTTCTCTCTAGGTTATCTTGTAGTGGTATGTAAAGATTAAGGAGATAAGGATTGTCATGTGCGTGCATTCCATTGCACAAAATTCAGTGTATAACACAGACTAATAATTAAAGGGATCGAAAATGTAACATTTCTGTGAGAGAACTGAGAAGATAATAAGAAGATATTAATTGAAACCTTTTACATTCAGATACTTGCAGTTTTCTCTCCTATCTTAATGGCTACCTCCAGCCTAATATTAGTAGTGGCTTAGCAAAATGAAGCTGCTATTGTGGGATCCTTGCTGAAAAAGTAGCAAAAATACAGACTACAGGTGGCACAGCTAAAGCTTGGTCATCTTTATTCAGAAGGCAATTATTGCAGAGGAGACGATATTGCTTCTTGAGGGAAATCACAAGAAGCACCTCCAACAAATGACTGGGTTTTGTGAATTTGGAAAACAGTGTAGATACCTAAATTATCAACATGAGTTGGTAATGTACAGTTAGATAAATTTATGGAGAAATTTTAATGTTTCTAATGATATACACTGATAAAGCTACATAGGATTAGACACTATATATATATATATAGTGTGTGTGTAATATTTTGTGTAATATTATGTATGTGTGTGTGTGTGTAATATTTTGTGATAACCATGAAATTTCCACTCTTGTAGCATTTTTGTTTTAAGCATTGCTTCAGAATGCCACAGCTTTCAAATGGTGCTAATGTGAACCAGTCCTTAATTTTGATATCTGCATAGAGGGGGGCAAAATAACAAATAAGTGGGATGAATCGTCATTTGCTATAAATACAGTATCCTGGCTTGAAATTAATTTTAACATGTTCATGCACATTTTTGGATTTCCTGTGAGATCTGAGAGAAAGGAATTCCTGGATAAAGGCAAGGCAGACCAAAATGCAGAGATTTGTCTTTTGGAGGAAGGGATTTTTGAGAGTTCATAATAATTAGTAATCCTATATTTGTGTAGGTAACATCTCTTGTGCTTTCATTAAAAACTTGGTACATGTGACACAAGCATGTCTCAAGTTAATGCATATAAAGTGCTAGAGTTTGTGTGTAAAATGAGACTACAATCTCTTCTCTTTTTACTTTTGTACTTAAGGTAGGAGACTTGCCTGATGCAGATATCAAGCCACCTGAAAATGTGCTTTTTGTCTGCAAACTTAATCCTGTGACAACAGATGAAGACCTTGAAATCATATTTTCTCGTTTTGGGCCAATCAAAAGGTAATGATAGAAAATCTGCAGAAATGGCAATACACTAGTAAAAACCTGTTTAAAACCTTTCTTTCCTGGGTTTCACTGCTGTGCTTGCCTTCTAATTCAGCCACAAATATCTGTTATGTTGCTGTCAGTTGTGTTAAAAACTTAAGAAGATGGAACAGAAGAGACTGGTGCCTTGTGGGTGGGAGCCAAGAACTTGCCAGGGAAGGGTTCAGGCACTTTCTCGCTCCTTGCTCTTCATGCAGTGGGGGGGGGCAGTTGCAGTAGCAATGGCAGTGTAGGGAGAGGTGCAGACTGGTATGAAGAGAAGGAAAAGACCTTCTCTGGTCTTTTCTTTCTCTTCTGCTGAGTCTCTTCTGCGTGATCCTTTTTTAAACCATTTTTCCTCCCTCCCCTTTCCTCTTAGTGTTTGCTTTTACAGTTTGTCCAGTTTAGAGATGACTTCATTGAGAATTAAGGGCCAGTATGGTTTCAGACAAGAGTGCAACGTTTGCCTCTTGGCCATGAGCCACTCAAAAACATTCGGCTTTCAGAACTGGCTATCATGTCTTGTGAGATCCCACTCTTAGGCAGACAATTCTGTCCTTTATATTGGAACAAAGAATTGAGTTTCATACATGCTTCCCTCTTAGAAAATGCTTCTCAGCATTACTTGCAACTGAAAAGTCAGAGAGCCTAAAAAGAAGCAGAAAGAAAAATAATATATTGTTAAAGTTTTAATTTTGAAATATTTATGAGGCTTAGTATACTTCAGTATTTCCTGCTTAAACTAATGTACTTAATTGTGTTCAATTCAGAGTAGTGTACTTTTCCTAATGAAGGAGGGTCGCCATAGTCACTCCTGTTTCTGAAAATGTTGCACAAGAGTGCAGATTATTCAAAACAAATACCAAGAGGAATGTAGTTACTGTTTGGAGTCTACACTTTTCTTAAATCTAAGTATGTGAGTTGCATTTTCTGATGATCAAAACATTTATGGGAGAATTCCAGTATCCACAGTCTGTGCTGGAGGGGAGAAGCCTCCTAGTTCAGATTTTATCCCTCACCAAAGCCACTCATATTAGAATTGTCCACATGAACAGATGAAGGACTGCTTCTTTTGAGTGCTGTGTGATGCCCAAGAAGCCTCCCCGAAAACAGTGCCAGCCAAATATTAGTGGTCATTCTACAACTCCCTGAACAACATGTGTTTTGCTGCATTTTCAGCTGTGAAGTGATTCGAGACTGGAAGACGGGTGAATCCCTGTGCTATGCTTTCATTGAGTTTGAAAAGGTATGTGTTTATCTGTTTATATTGTTTAACAATACACAATGTTAGAAGCGTTTGGTACCTGTTTCTTTTATTAATTTTATATACCATCTTTCCCAAAAGAACCAAGGTAACTCATTACAGTAAAAACATTAGTACAAAAGCAGTCATAAAATGCCATAATGAAGTTCTGTTACAGGCTTTAGGAAAACCATTTTTTGATATAAATCAATGCAGTTTACTGTGGTACCGGGGAAGATCAGCTCCACCATGCATGAACTTCTGTAGCTTCAGGAAAGTCAGTCCCTCAGCCTCATTTCCATCTGAAGAACATGAAGAATGGCAACCTGCACTGCATGACTCTTTCCAGAGTGAATGTTATTACAATCCCCAAGATTCCCTAAGCCTTAGGTGTGAGGCAGTCTAGACATCTGAAGAAAATCCGTCCCTGTTTGCTTGCGCGCCTGGCTACATTGTGAAGGGATCCTGAAATAACATCACCTGATTTCTGAAGTACAAACTGGAAATTGAAAATGGCCTGAGAATTGTCAACCCTTGCAAAAATTAAGGCTCTTGGATTGCTACTCTGAAATTCCTCAGGAGGATGCTTATATAGAAGAGTAGCAGGGTTGTTTTCTCTGATGAGCAGATCATACAGAAATGCAGTGACCTCACGTGCAGCAAGGAGATGCTGCTAAATATTCTGGAATTCCTTGTAGATAGTTTCAGAGGGTAGCCGTGTTGGTCTGCAGTAGAACAGCTGGATTTGAGTCCCTTAGCACCTTGGAGACCAACAAGAGTTTCAGGGTATAAGTCTTCAAGAATCAAAGCTTCCCATCTCCTGTGTCTTATGAAGGGTGCTTTGACTCCCAAAAGCTTATACCCTGGGACACTTGTTTTGTTTCTTTGTGTGTATGGACAGAGGGTGGTAGTTGTGGAATAATAGCTCTTTAGGAGCACCTGTATTTTCACTGTGCAAAGAAATCTGAGTGAGCCTTTTAAGTAACGAGCACTTTTGTATTGAATACATTGGTAGATGGCCTAATATCAGTGTGCAACTGGTGTTCCCTAACCTAAGCATGTATTTGGTGGAGCAAGACGTTTTTAGGCTGATAAAAGCATTATTAGTAATATGCTAATGGAAACTTTTCTGGTTCATAAACCAGCCTCACAGGATTCTAATTTTAACTTTTTGTTTCATGGAAATATGGCTATCAGGAGGAAGACTGCGAGAAAGCTTACTTTAAGATGGATAACGTGCTAATAGATGACAGGCGGATACATGTGGATTTTAGCCAATCTGTTGCCAAGATAAAATGGAAAGGAAAAGGTAACTTTCATTTTATACTCTTAGTAAGAGGGAGGAAGGAGCAGAGTCAGGTCCTTGCATAGTGTCAGTTCCACTTTGGTATGCAGCAGCATCAACTTTTAGTGCAGAGATTAGCCATTTCTAGATTCCTCAGATATTAGATCTCCAGAGTCTGGCCGGTTCCCTTTTAATCATCCCTTGCTTCTCAAAGGAGCCTGTGGTAGTGGGGAGTATTAAGCTGGCTAGCTGAATGCCTGATGGCATATATGGTGAATACATAGGACAGGAGCAGGGTCTGCTTCACTCACAAGGGCAGTAGAGCTTGGTAGAAAGTGGAGGAGGGTGGAGGCTCAGCATGCTGGTTTTTTTCTGTAGCCCATTTTCGGTTTCTGTTCAAGAGCCCCAGTGCGATCTGGAAGGCAAGGCACATTGTGAGTGACTGTTCCTCAAATGCTTGAACTGGTTGGAGATGGAATATAAAGAGTCCCCTTATGTAGTAGGACATGTCCAACACCTCAGCTCATTGGTTAAGTAGGTAAGCATGCCAATGTACAACTACACATACTCTGCTGCTATGCATGAGAATCCACACAGACATTTTAGGTTTGTGTTCCTTTGGGTGAGGAGGGGGACTGAGTATTGAGGTCTGCTACCAGTACTCAACATTAAGGAACAGTTACTAATCAGCATGTTCCAGTTTGGAACCCCGGAGGCTGTGAATACTTGGCTGTGTGCACTGAAGTGCCAGTTTGTACCATAAGATGGCAGCACAAAATAGAAGATGCTAACTCCAGCATCCAAGCAATAGTTTTGTACAACTGTTGTTAAATGTTATTAAAATGTGTTAATTTTGGACTTCCGGTTGATGGCGGCACGCTAGCAGACTCACCTCCCGGACCTCCCGGGGGTGAAGCTGCGCTCCAGCCGAAGGAGGGGGCGTGCAGGCTCACTACTCCCCCAGGGACCCGTCTGAAGGGGCTCCTGGCCATGGAGCTTTTGAGAGGTTGCCTCTTCGACGGTGTAATGCCAGAGAATTGAGGCACCTCTCCGCTCTGATGGTTCTTCGTGCTGAGAGACCGAATGGACTAAGTGACGCTGACCGGGGCAAGCACAGGAGATTGAGCGTGAAATGGAGTGTAAACGAGGTCTGTGGACCAATTATGAACGTGAGTTGTTAAGCAGTGATTAAAAAGAAAAGAAGCTCCCCACCCCACGGAACAGAAGATAAGGCGAGTGGGGGAGGGAGGCCTCCCAAACGCATAGACTTTAGAGCGATTGAGGGGGGGAGCAAAAGCATAAAAGGTTAAAACTGCTAAGGAGCACTTACCAAGGCGAGTGCGAGCGTTAAGGAGCATATTCAGAGACTTTCAAAAAGTTTGCAAAAGTAAACAAAGAGAAAAAGATTACAGGGAAGAGGACGGAGAAAGAGAAGCATCTGAAATAGAAAGTAACTGAGAGTCCAAAACCGGAAGGAGTCAGCGAGCCAGCAAAGACTTCGGCAGACTCCATGTGCCACCTGCTGGACCAAATGAATAATCTCAAAGAGCAGATGACATCAATGAC